TGTCTTTGTTGTTATGCTTAGGAGACTTATTGGCTGAGGGTGATGATGCAGGTCAGTTGTTTTACAAAATCCATGTCAAGCTATGTACCGCCAGGCTGAATTCACTGTCCTTATGGTGATCATGAAAGCACAGTATGGTCATTGTTTTCTACAGTCAGATTTGTGTCTTTCTGGAGCATTTTACAATCGGGAGTGTTCTAGAGAGTTTTACCCTTCAAAAGATTTCCACTTTTGTAATTTTACAGAAAATTGTTTAAATAAGAGACATTTTTTAAAGTTTGCTGACTACAGTTACAAAAGGATGTTACATAGTTCATAAAGTTGAAGAAAAGAAACATCCAGTTCAACCTCAGTGTGTGTTCCATTCTGAGCCCATTTGGGTGATTAGTTAATCCCTGGATCAACTCCTATCAATTGCAGAATTCCCTGTATATTAGACTGACTGAGGAAAATAATGATTTGATCCCCTGCAGATTTTGTACGTTTGCCCACTTACAAAGAAATGAAAGGTCTATAGTTTTTATCATAGGTGTATTTTAGATGATAGAGACAGAATATCCACCAAAAATCCAGAAAAAACACATGACACAAATGTTATAAATTGAGTTGCAGTTCAGTGAGTAAAATAAGTATTTGATCCCCAAGCAACCAACAATAATTCTGGCTCCCACAGACTGGTACACAGATTACTCCTGTCAATTTAGGAAGGTGCTCCTAGCGGCAACTCGTTATGTATATAAAACACACCTGTCCACAGAATCTCTTTCTTCCATTCAAACCTCACCACCATGGGCAAGACCAAAGAGCTGTCAAAGGACGTTAGGGACAAGATTGTAGACCTGCACAAGGCTGGGATGGGCTACAAGACTATCAGCAAGAAGCTTGGTGAGAAGGAAACAACTGTTGGAGCGATTATTCGCAAATGGAAGGAATACAAAATAACCATCAATCGCCCTCGGTCTGGAGCTCCTTGCAAGATTTCTCCTCATGGGGTAAGGATGATCATGAGAAAAGTGAGGGATCAGCCCAGAAATACACGGGATGAGCTTGTGAATGATCTCAAGGCAGTTGGGACCACAGTCACCAAACAAACCATTGGTAACACAATACACCGCCATGGATTGAGATCCTGCAGTGCCTGCAAGGTCCCACTCCTCAAGAAGGCACATGTACAGGCCTGTCTGAAGTTTGCCAATGAACATCTAAATGATTCAGAGAACGATTGGGAGAAAGTGCTGCGGTCAGATGAGACTAAAATTTAGCTCTTTGACATTGACTCGACTCGCCGTGTTTGGAGGAAGAAAAATGCTGACTATGACTCTAAGAACACTATCCCTTCAGTCAAGTACGGAGGTGGAAACATTATGCTTTGTTGCTGTTTCTCTGCTGAAGGTACAGGCCGACTTTGCCACATTGAGGGGCCAATGGACAGGGCCATGTATTGTAAAATCTTGGATGAGAACCTCCTTCTCTCAGCCAGAACACTGAAGATGGGTCGTGGATGGGTCTTTCAGCATGGCAATGATCCAAAACATACTGCCAAGGAAGCAAGGCAGTGGATCAAGAAGAAGCACATTAAGGTCATGGAGTGGCCTAGCCAGTTTCCAGACCCTAATCCTATAGAAAATGTATGGAGGCAGCTGAAACTTCGAGTTGCCAAGCGACAGCCAAGAAACCGTAAGGATTTAGAGAAGATCTGTAAAGAAGAGAGGACCAAAATCCCTCCTGAGATGTGTGCAAACCTGTTAACCAACCACAAGAAACGTCTTGCCTCTGTGCTTGCCAACAAGGGTTTCTCCAACAAGTACTAAGTCATATTTTAGATTGCAAGCCCTCAGGGGCAGGGCCCTCCTTACCATCTTGTCTTGAATTGTATTGTGATTGTAATGTCTTCCTTACATTGTAAAGCGCTGTGCAAACTGTTGGCGCTATATAAATCCTGTATAATAATAATAATAATGTTTAGCTTGGAGATCAAATACTTTTTTTACTCACTGAACTGCAACTCAATTTATAACATTTGTGTCATGTGTTTTTTTCTGGATTATGAGGGCTCTCTCCTTTTTTTATCTTTGAAATATTGCGGGACCACGGCAAGGAGTTTCGTTTGACACTGCGCCTGAGACGATCCAGCTTTACTTCTGGGATACAGCCAGCGCTACAAGGGAGAAAAACCAAACACTCACCTTGCAGGGACTGAGAGTAAAAACAACTGGGTCCAAGTTTGAAAGCACGATTGCAGGCTCAAGTGTCACTAACTAAAAGACTTCGATCCAACTCCATTTGGTGAGTACCCACCCAAGGGGGGCTGTCGGACCACCGCTACGAAATATATACCACCATCAATATATATCATTAACAACTTCCTTTGTACACGTTTTTTACGTTTATTTTTCGTTGACCAATTTATTCCAATTTTCTAATATATATTTTTTGCACGGATCGTTTATATATTGTGACCTATTCGAGGTCTTTACACAGTGGTTGAAATTTTTTATTGTCCCAATCATTTTCTGTTTTTCCACAGCACTATTGTACTATTAATTTTATTTTTATTTTATATATATTTCTTTTATGATTCTATGTAAGACATATCACTTGTTTTAGGGCTAGACCGCCTAAACCTAAAATTTCACTATATCACTTGGTTATACTAAGTTTCATATTAGTTACACCTTTAGCGCTTTAATTTTAAAGAACAACTGTACCCTTCTACAATTGCTCTTCAGATGGTTAACCCTACCACCCTTATCCTTTTGTAAATCCTTTGCCCCACCCAGGTGCCTCTCACTAGCAGGGCCGGCCTTAGGCCTTTAGGCGCCCTGTGCGAGAAAGCTTTACAGCGCCCCACCCTTTAGTGGCCACGCCCCCGTAACCACACCCATTTCCCCCAATATATGCACCATTTAAAGACTCCTATTTTTCCCCCCCCGAAGTGGGGGGGCGGACGAGGGAGCGCTGTCATATCGGATGGCCAGCGGGGAGGGGGAGAGAAGCCGCCCCCAGGACGAGCTGTGACGGCCGCACGGCGCCCTGGTTGCCATGGCGCCCTGTGCGGCCGCACGGCTCGCACACCCCTAAGGCCGGCCCTGCTCACTAGGACCAATACTTACCATCAACCCCAAACCAAGTAGTCTTCACTGTGTGGTTCCCCGCCCACACCTTCCCCGAGCCACACAACCTTTTCTCCCCAAAAAATGGCTGCTTCATACTGGGCATTCATGCCACGTCCACATTAAGTCCTCTGGGAAAGTAGTACTCATGGCAGTCTCCAGTGATCACACGGAGTATGACATTCCCAGAACACAGTACCAAAATTGCACCAGTGGTCCTCCATTGCATTTATTGATATCTGTAGGATTGTCCTTGAAGTCCTCATGTACAATGCTGTACCAGTGGTCCTCCATTGCATTTATTGATATCTGTAGGATTGTCCTTGAAGTCCTCATGTACAATGCTGTACCAGTGGTCCTCCATTGCATGCAATGATGTCTCTAGGCATGTCCTTGAAGTCCTCATGTACAATGCTGTACCATTGGTCCTCCATTGCATGCAATGGCGTGTGTAGGCATGTCCTTGAAGTTCTCATGTACAATGCTGTACCATTGGTCCTCCATTGCATGCAATTACATGTGTAGGTGTGTCCTTGAGGTCCTCATGTACAATGCTGTACCAGTGGTCCTCCATTGCATTTAATGATATCTGTAGGCATGTCCTTGAAGTCCTCATGTACAATGCTGTACCATTGGTCCTCCATTGCATGCAATTACATGTGTAGGTGTGTCCTTGAGGTCCTCATGTACAATGCTGTACCAGTGGTCCTCCATTGCATTTAATGATGTCTCTAGGCATGTCCTTGAAGTCCTCATGTACAATGCTGTACCATTGGTTCTCCATTGCATGCAATGATGTCTGTAAGCATGTCCTTGAAGTCCTCATGTACAATGCTGTACCAGTGGTCCTCCATTGCATGCAATGATGTCTGTAGGCATGCCCTTGAAGTCCTCTTGTACAATACTGGACCAGCAGTCCTCCATTGCAGGCAATGATGTCTGTAGGCATGTCCTTGAAGTTCTCATGTATAATGCTGTACCACCGATCCTCCATTGCATTGTCTGTAGGCATGTCCTTGAAGTCCTCTTGTACAATACTAGACCAGCAGTCCTCCATTGCAGGCAATGATGTCAGCAAGGGGGAGGCTGCATGACCGTCAGAAAGGATCTGCTTTGTGGGACCGGTCTTCTGGCGGGATGAAACCTTCGGGTGAGGAATAAGATGACTATTACTCTACTTTCTTCCCCCCTCAACTAAACAATTATTTACCTTACCATATGGAGGGAGGCGGCACTGAATGACCGGAGTTCATCATTAACGTATATCTCCAGCCATGTTGAAGGTTTAGAACCCCGGTCATGTTTCTTATTGCTGTGTGGAGATTCGCTGTTCTCTTCCTCTTGGTAATTATCTGAAAATGGTGGGAAATCTTAAACGTTAGTTATCACTGGATGGAGACCTGAGTGGAAATCTTCCATGACAACTGTCTGGGGCGGTTTATCCCTGACCTCCCAATCCCATACGGAGAGCTTGTGACCCAAATGTCCATTGCAAAAGCGTTCTGCAATACCACAACTGTGATTTTTTTTTTTTGTCATTATTTCACAAGCAGCAGTTATTTTGTGTTTCCACAACAAATGTGTGCTGCCTTCACACATGGCACCCCAAAGGCAGGGCGCCTTGTATTATCACTGAACCCCCATCAGGGGAGCTCTGTGGTCACACTACCCGCCCACACACCGAGCGCCTCCATTCACAGGAATGGTGAGGGCAGACACAGCCGGCAACGCGTAGGTTAAAGTCGGGTGACCCTGTCCCTCCCAGCCAGCCCGCCTGAAGGAAGTGCCTGGTCACCGCCTACCATACGCCCACCACACTCCACCTCCAATCAGCTACGCCGGCGCGTCAACCCCTGGCCAATAGGAATTCGTCCAGCGGGGTATTAGTAGAAAGCGACGGCTGTTCGCACTGTCAGACAGACAGTCAGTCATTGTCAGGAGCAGACATGAAGGGGCCGTTGTACGTGGAGCTCTACACCGGGGCCAAGATGCCCATCCTGGGCCTGGGGACATGGAAGGTGAGAGCTTACTGCATGTGTGCGTCCCTGTCCTCTATACATTGCATATGTCCCCATTCTACACCCCGGACCTGTGTGTGATGGGCCCCAGTGCTTCAGTGTTCTAGAAGCATATCACATAGAACTTCCACAATTCTATACACTCGTTTCATCCTCTTTCATACTATCTCTAGCTGAATACATCACTGTGAAGATTGGCAGTGTTGGGCCCCTTTGCTTTAGGGCCCAATAAGTCACATGATCTGCAATGCTTATAGTTCTGCCCCTCCCTTCATGCATTACTTCCTATATCTATTTACTTTCTGCCTTTAATATATCTATCTATTGAAGCTGATTGGTTGCCATGCACAGCTGCTCCAGATTCTGTCTGCTCCAGTTTTGATAAATCCCCCTCAATGTCTCATCTTTTCTTTTCCTCCTTTCCTTTTTATTTTCTTCTTTCATGTTGTTGTCATTCATTCCTCGTGTTTTGTTTTTTTTTCTTCACTATCCTCCTATATGTGGCCTCGTGCTTTCTCTATATTTTGTTACATAACTATTTTCAGTACACACCTTATGTTACACAATATCATCTCTTCTGGTACTGAATCTGTACTTTATCTGTTTATATTACCATAGATGATCCTGCATATGCTCCCTTTATCCCCCTATACATTGCTATTCATGCAGATTATCTTACTGCAGTCCATCCATCCATCCATTGCCATCCACCCCCATCTCCCGTGCATCCTTTCTATGCATTGCCATCCACCCTAGGCATTGCCATCCACCCCTATCTCCTGTGCATCCTCCTTATGCATTGCCATCCTCCCTATGCATTGCCATCCACCCCTATCTCCTGTGCATCCTCACTATGCATTGCCATCCACTCCCATCTCCCGTGCATCCTCGCTATGCATTGCCATCCACCCCCATCTCCCGTGCATCCTCCCTATGCATTGCCATCCTCCCTATGCATTGCCATCCACCCCTATCTCCTGTGCATCCTCCCTATGCATTACCTTTCACCCCTATCCTCCTGTGCATCCTCCCTATGCATTGCCATCCACCCCTATCTCCTGTGCATCCTCCCTATGCATTGCCATCCTACCTATGCATCACCATCCTCCTGTGCATGGCAATGCATGGGGAGGATGGCAGCGCATAGGGAGGTGTTGCCATCCTCCCTATGCATTGCCATCCACCCCTATCTCTTGTGCATCTTCTCTATACATTGCTATCTATGCGGGTTACTTTACCTTATGTATCCTCTCTATACCTTCTATACACATTGCTATCTAACCAGATTACTGCTGGGGAGGACCTCCGAGGTGAGTATAGACAGGCAGTATATGAGAGAGAGAGAGAGAGAGACTCTAAAATAACAAAGACACCTTTAGAAATGTTAAGTGATGATAATCTACATCACATACAAGATGGTTCTAAATGGGCATGCAGAGCTGTGTGCTGCTGTGATTTTTAGTACAAGGGAGTAAAGGTCTGCTTTAGGACTTGTTCACGCCAATTGCGGTGCGTTCCAGAGCTGTAGCTGTTGGAACACAGCAATTTCTTACTAAACTTCCCCTTTTGTTCGGGGGCATGGTGGTGCATTGAAGTCAATGGCCCGCAGTGCGTTCGGACGTGTGGCAAAACATTGCCTCTGATCCACTGCGAAAGCAAAAAATAGAGCATGCAGCATTTTGTTCTGCGTTCGGAACGCAGGCAGTGTTTTGCTAGGCGTCTGATCGCACTGCGAGGGGGCGTGGCTGTAATGCCATTGACTTCAATGCACCGCTACTCCCCAGAACGAAGGGGGAAGTTTAGTGAGTGATTGCCACCGCTCTGGAACGCACTGCAATTCGTGTGAATGGGCCCTTAAGCTTTGGTTACCTGGCTCCTGGGATTTGTTCAGCCCTGATATCCCAGATAGCAAGGATAACTTGTCACAAACTTGTGGCAGGATTAAATTGTAATTTTGTTAACTTGCTGCACACATTCCTGGCAAGTTGTAGACTTGCAGAACACTCGCAGCACAAGTTCTAGTTGACACTTTTTGAATTTGTAGCAAATTTGCTTGGCAAGTCTACAGCAAGAGTCCTGCAGGTCTTAGCAAGAGCTCTGCAAGTGTACAGCATGTTGATCTGGGGACTTGCAATGCAGACTTGCTGTAATTGTGCAACAAAATTGTGAAGCTTGGCAAGTCTGCAATACTTTAGCAAGTCATTTTCAAACTTGCAGCTCAATTGCTTGCTATCTGGGATATTGTCACCAGCGCACAATACTGAAAGGTAGAACATTTATTTGTCACCCATGAAAAGCGACCTTTTACGGTCACCAGGGGGCCTCTTCCTCGGACATTAGTGTTCTTTGATGTTTGCTGTGATGGCGTCATCTGTCATTTCAGCGTATCACCCGATGGATATGGTCTGACGCTGCATGGAGTGCACTCGATTTGCTGCGCTTTGGTCTTGTATAGTTATGACAAGTCCATTGCCCACATTGGGTGAGCGCTGCCTTTCAATGTTCCGTATGTTATGCAATATCCATACATTGTGAATGTGTATATCCTCTTGAGTGGTTGACAGGTTAGAAGGAATGATGTGATTACACCTTTATCTTGGTGTATTGTGCGTGGAACAGGGAGTTTCTGTGCAGTCTTGTGGCTGCTAATCACATTACACAGTAATCTTCTGAGTATCTTCTGGATTATCTGCTGATTTTCAAGGCCTATAAAGCAATTACCATTGATCAGTGTGACCAATCACATTAAAGGTGCAAACTGTTACATTATTAAACTTTCCAGAAGGTAATTCCTGGTCACAATGTTGCTGTTCCATATTTGATTAAATTGGAAACAGCTGTGTCTAATGGTTATCTGTAGACCAGGAAAACTGATTAACATCTCGGCTAGAAGTGACCCTGTCAGCTGTTTTGGACGTTTAATATTCCGTTCCTGTGAGCCGGCAGCACGAGTTGCTGGCTGTCACCCTTTATTAGAGCCTCTCCTCTGCCCCTGCAATTTCAGATTTAAGCTCCTCCCATTCACAATCTGTCCAGTGAGAGCACCCTTGTTGGGCTTTGAGGTGCACTGATTGGTTAACAGTTGGGCAGGGCTGAGGCATAGTCGGAAAGTGAAAGCAGCATTGGGTTACATAAGACACGCATGTTGGCTGAGTCATCGGACATGCCTGATTTTGCTGTAACTTGTACATCTGATTTCCTGCCATCCCAACGCTGCTGTGGCTGAGCTTCATTAGATCAATACCTCTGCCTCTCCATTCCGGCTGATGGTCCTCGTCAGATCTGGACCAGCCATGTTTGGCAGCCATGATTAGTTTTTTTTTTTTTTTTTTCCAGGTTTACTTTTCTGATGTCTAGTTCAGTATAAGGCTGATTCAGAAGTATCATGGATGGACAAATCATGAGTAAAACATACATTGTGACTATACAATGCAACTGAACGTCTAATTGTTTATTATTGCATTGGTCAGTTTTTTATCTTTATACTAGAGGTGCACCGAAATAAAAATTTCAAAACCGAAATTAAAAAAATGTCAGGCTGAAACTGAAGGGTTTTTTAACTTTTTTTTCAATGTTGTTTTTTATAAACTTTTCAATTTTTTTCTTTTAGGGGCTTTGGGGAAATATTGGGGGTCTAAACCGCCCCCTGATATTTCCCTTGTAAAATAGAAAGAGATTGGAAACAGAGTCCTCAATCTTTCTCTGCAGCCCCTGTTATAAATGATCAGGAATCCTCTATACTGAGTGTTCCTGTTCAGTCATAACATGACAGAGTGTTTACTAGAACCACAATCATGAATGAACAGGAGGTGATGGAGATCACTTCCCATTCATAATTGAGGATATCGTAACCATACTCTATCCTCAATTATTTACAAATACTCAGCGATCACTGACTCCTTGTACCCGCTCTCCATCCTGACAGCTGTCACAGGATGCTGTGTGCGAGCGTTGCGGGAGAAGAGCGCAACCTCCTGTGACAGCGTTGGCTGTCTGCGCCCACACCGCTCTGCCGATCTGTGACAGGAGGCTGAGCGGTGTGGGAGGAGAGACGCCGGCCGCTCACAGCGCTCTCCTCCCACAGCGCTCGGCCGCCTGTGACAGTTTCTCTCCTCCCCGCTGGGACACAGAGCAGCACCCAGCGGGAAGGAGAGAAAGAACAGATGCACCGCTGTATCGGCCAGGAAATGGCACTTACGGCATCATGCCAAAAGTGCCATTTTCAGGCCAATATGTTTCAGCGGCCGATATATCAGTACATCCCTAGTTTATACCTTGTAGCTCTAAGCCCCAAAAGCTGAGCAACCATAGATCCCGTGCTTTTATGTTGGGCCTGTTCACACATGAGCGCTCTGGTGCCTGTAGCTCAACATCTGATGCTCAGAAAGGTGCACAAACTGCTTTTGAGTCAGAATGGGGCTTATTTGGCCCCTACAGACTTCAGTGGGAGTGCCAGAAAATGGGCAATTTTCAAACCTAAATAGTCATCTCCGATTCCTAGTAATTGGCTTTCCTTTACTGAAACAAAAAAGCCTGAATATGCCTGCGAAAGAAAAAAAAAATCCAGAAAGTTCCAAAACTACTCACTCAGGTCTCCATGCTGGCTTAGGCCCCATTCACAGCTGAGCATTTTGTTGCGAGTTTCCCTGGTCAGGGCTGGACAAATCCTGGAGCCGGGTCAATAACGCTTCTTAAAGGAGAATATTGGGAGCATAATGTACTCTTGCTAATACTTGGAGCCAGTGAGGAACACTGCTGGTGTCACACGCTGGCTCGAAAGATTGAAAGCTGAGCAATCAGCTCAGTCTTCTACCTGCAAAGAGTGGTGACTGTCAGTCACCACTCCCCCCAGGGATTACCACCTGCTGGTTCTGGATTGGACAGACTTGCTCCTGAATTCCATATTAATATGACCACGCCTTCCTAATACTCAACATGAAGAAGCCCATTCTTTTCCCCCCTAGGTGCCCGGTCACATCAAAGCGCTCGAAAAAGTGCATAAGGCTTTTGTAGGCAGAGTTGCGCATTTCTGTTCTGTACACTCAATGGAAATGTCTGAAAAGCAAACTGTGATTGTGCACCCAACCGCCTCCACCTAGTAATTGGCTTTCCATTGGCCAAAACAAAAAATGCTCAAGCATGCAAAACGAGCCAAAAACATCTTTAAAAATGCAGAAAACGCTCACACTCCAAGTGGGGGGCGCTTAGACTTTCAAAGTGGTTTTTTAAGCAATTTTACAAGTTTGCATGACGAAATTTACATCACAATCACAATATACAGCAATGATGTACAACCCCCATCCACTTAGGGTTGCAATGCTTCGCAGGTTTCAATGCAAACAAATCCAATAAATGCAAATTTGTATTAAGGATGTGTATACATATGTTAATTTTGTTCCAGAAGGTGGGCTATGCCTTTGATCTTGTGAAGATCATGTGACTTGGATGTGAAGGGCGGCAGCTGACGTATCATTTGCTCGCAGTCAGGTGCTTGTTTGACGTTTTTGAGGATAAACTTGACCAACATGAATTCTACGCTTCAATGTGTTGTGGTCTCTGCATATAAGCAAAGCCTATGTTGGGAACAGAGCGGTCTTTATGTACTCGGTCCTGGATGGTTTATAATCCGATTCTTCATGAGTGTTGGTATAAAACGTACTTTTAATTTTGGCTGCAAGATTAAAGGCCTGTGTTCTTCCCTTTTTTTTTTTTAAACTTACCTCAAGTATTTAAACCATTTGTACGGAGTTTCTTTAACTTATTACTTTTTTCACTTATTTTTAGTCTTGTTTTTTTCACTTAACAGCTTTAAATGTTTGTAAAAGATGACCCTCCTTTTAAAAAAAAAAAAAACCTGCAGGTTCTAGTGGTGTGAACCCAAGTCCATCCGTGACGGGGTAAGTTGTCCTGTGTTGGGGCTATGCTGGAAACCATGGCCAGAGCAGCCCCAATGCAAGACAAGGCAGTTTGCTATGTCATGGATGGGCTCTGTGTACACCACCGCGACACACAGAAAAAGTATGGCATGCTGTACTCGGTTACAGATCACAGCCATTCATGAGTCCAGGGTATCACTCCGCTAGAAATCCATGATTGCTGCATGAGCTTATATCCTGTTGCCGTAGGGCTGCCCCTACACTGTTAGGTTCTTATGGTGGTAGGAAAAAGGATTATTCATGTAATCTGAAGCGTTCCAGAAATTTTACCGACAATGTTGACTTAAAAATATAATGAGCCAATCTCTCGTTTTTGTAAATGGCGATTCACCTAAAATGTAAGTTCTATAAAGGACTGACCAGTTGTTAGTGATTGCAGTATGTTTTGCAGTTTTCCTTGTGTGGGTGTTTGGTAAGGAAGCATCACTTTCCTCCGATCAGATATGAATTGTATTTGTTTTTGCTGCTTTCCTGCCTTTTGGCATCCTTGATTTTTGTTTTTCATTTTAGTACATGTGTTTTGGTGCGCTGGTGTGTGTGTATACAGAATGCATTGCAGTGCTTGCTTTGCATATTTAACGCTATGCACAGCACAGCATAGCGCTGCAATGTGCTGATGTGGGTTGTTACACTACATAAGAATGCAGACACGCTACATTTGTATTTAATGCTTGCCAATATACCTGTATGGTGTGCACAGGGCACATGGAGAACAATTGTCTTGAATTGAGCCTGTGCTGATCAATGCGGCTCAATGTACGTGCTGTGAATGAGCCCTTAGACATCCTTTGCAGAGCCCATTGCTAGAACTCTTATGAACCTAATTGCTGATAATGATGCATTACTTGCTGTCGGAGAAGTACAGTAGTTAACGTTGGTACCCTATATTCAGTTTCTACCAAGGACATTCTCTGCCTAGGGGGTTGTATGTCCTCCCAGTGTTTTGTATTTACTGGTTAATAGCCTTCCTCCCAGTTTGCTTTTTTAAAGGCAGTAATTTGTGCAAGCCTGGACCAATGAAAGGAACCATTTCACTTTACATGTTTGGCTCCCAAGCAACTGAGTATTCTATGCAAGGGTCTACAATGGGCACGTGAGCATCAGAACTGGACCACACAGCAATGGAAGGTGGCCTGATCTGATGAATCATGTTTTCTTTTACATCATGTGGATGGCCGGGTGCGTGTGTGTCGCTTACCTGGGAAAGAGATGGCAGCAGAATGCACTATGGCAAGAAGGCAAGCCGTCAGAGGCTGTGTGATGCTTTGGGCAATGTTCTGCTGGAAAAACTTAGGTCCTGCCATTCATGTGGATGTTACTTTGACACGTTCCTGATGGTAGTGGCCTCTTTCAGCCAGATCGTGCGCTCTTCCATACTGCAAAAATGGGTTTGGGGAACGCAGCGAGTTTGAGGTGTTGACTTGGCCTTAAAATTCCCCAGATCTCAATCCAATCGTACAGCTGTGGTATGTGCTGGAAAAACAAGTCCGATCCATGAAGGCTTCACCTCACAACTTAAAGGATCTGCTACTGATAGCTTGGTGCCAGATACCACAGAATACCTTCAGAGGTCTAGTGGAATCCATGCCTCAATGGGTCAGGGCTGTTTTTCGTGGCAAAAGGGGGACCTACCCTATACTAGACGGGTGGAGATAATGTTTATCTAATCTTCTCCATCTCCTATCTTCTCCGGACATATTGGGCAATACATTGTGGGTTTATCCTGATTCAGAACCCCTGGTGCATATAATTTATATTTAGTGTACAGCATTTTTCTGTAGCCTTGTAACTAATTTGATCATAAGGAAAAACCAATGCGCTCTGTCATATTACTGTATAGCGGGGTGAGCTACCAGGAACTTGTGATATGCTCTTTAGTCTGTGGGACCTAATGTAGACACATGGCATGGAAGTAAATCATCCTAAAGACTTGTAATGTATATCTTCATGCACACACCCAAGCGGTTATTGCATCTGTGTGGACCGATCATAAACATTAATTGCAGCTGTAAGACTGACCTAAAGCTTAACGTTTATGGTTGAACTGCAGTAGAAAGTTCATTACTCTTCATCTTTAACTTTACATGCTGATGTATATACTTATTGGTGTACTTGCTGACCTCGGTTACCAAATACTTTAGGTTGTTTGATCGCAACGCCAACGAGACCACCGAACCACATGTCCGTGCTTGGTAAGCTTTATTGTTCAGGGCGAAGTTTACAACTCTGATCTCCTGCACTGAATAATAAAGCTTATTGAACACAAACTTAGCGGATGAGCCCTGCTCCATGGGGCTATGCATGGGCGTCACTATGCTTGGGTTCTCTCTGCTCGCCATGTAGCCTGATGTCATTTCTCTGTGTATAATGTGCATTGGGGTTTTTCAGTCTGTGCCTTCTGTAAAATTGCCTGCCATATATTGGTCACCACTGAAACATACAACAAGGGAGGGAAGAACCAGCATCTTGTCTATTGAGGGACACAGGAATTCAGACTGTTGGGTTAGACTGCCACCTACAGGAGAATTGGACACTGGTAAACAAAAACTGTGGACCAGTCCAGTATAACCCCTCCTACTTCTCAGCAAGCTAGTGTTTTAGGAGGATGGATGTCTTTACTCTGAGAATAAAAACCTAACCTTTTGCTTGAAAGAAAGACCAGAAAGAAAATGCACTTTTTTTTTGTAACGGACCTTCCCACCCCTTTATGTCTCTGGATATTCTCTTGGTACTTCATCACAAAAGCGAGGCATGCTGGGAGTAGGACAGGTTTTAGTTGACTGTCGCAACATTTTTGCTTGCCCAGTCTTCCTGTAGGCAACAGTATAACCCAACAGTCTTTGAATTCCTGTGTCCCTCAATAGACACCATGAAATAGATTTTACAAGTACAAATTTAAAGAACTATGGGGTTAGGCTTTTCCCCATAGTTCTCCTTAGGGTAATGGGGGGACACAAACTAGCGTCCTCCCGTCACCCTAAGCTCAGTATACCGCGATAGCTACAGCTCGCGGTATACTCAGACGCTGAAGCGGATCCCGACAATTTTTGTCTGGATCCGCCCAGCTGCGTGAGTGACAGCTGGCTCTGCCTATCTAGAGGCGGAGCCAGCTGTGCCTGCCCCTCCTCCGTCCGTTCCGCCAGTCAGCGCTGGAGGATCGGAGGGGGGAATCCAGCCCCTCCCTTGTCACGGCAGAGAGCCGTGACAGGATTGAAAAGTGAGCGAACGCCGGTATGTGTTCGCTCACCTCCCGATCTACTGAGCCGACCTGTGACAGTCTCATTGTCACAGGTCGGCTAGAACTATGAGGTGAGTGAAAAGCACTCAGCTCATAGTTCTCCTTTAATTTATTTCTTGATGTATAATTTTCTTTCACAATTTTGCCCTCATTCTACTCCTCGCCATTGCAGGCAAAGCTGGACATAAATGAAAGAAAAACATAAAAGCAAATTAAATTTGTTTCCATTTATTTTTTTTTCTTGTAGTCAGAACCAGGCAAAGTGACGGCGGCTGTGGAGGCGGCTTTAGATGCGGGGTACAGGCATTTGGACTGCGCCTTTGTGTATCAGAATGAGAACGAGGTCGGAGAGGGCGTTCAGAAGAAGATCAAAGAAGGTGTGGTGAAGAGGGAGGACATCTTCGTCACCAGCAAGGTAAAAGATTTGCACAGATGTTTGCCTAGCTAGGCGAATGTTTTCCTGTATACGGCTTTCCTGCTCTTGTCCTGAGAAGTAGGCTCCTTGAAACTACTTGCGCAAACACATTTCCCATTACAGTATTTATAAAGTGGCAGAATGTGCTTATTGAATATCAAGGACGCTTTTAAACAAAGAACAAGTACTGATTTCTCAGAGCTGAGCACAGGACTGATGACATGTGAAAGGCAACACCATCCGAACCTAAAGTATTCATTGTGAACGGTTGATGGCAAGTTTAAAGGTACCAAAAAAATCCATTCAGATTGCCACCTCCAATTTCCTGTTCTTCCAGGTTGTGAGGTCACTCCATATGACAATATTGCTTTTCTGAAGGATTCTTTATAATGTGGAATAACCAGTTTTACTCGGTGACATTTTTATGTGCTCGTGGGAGAAGGCAGAACTACTAACAATTCCAGAAATAAGAGCCTGGCAGCCAACTTCACACATCCTCTCACAGGAAGCAAATCTGTGGGCTGACTTTCTGAAAGTGCTAGCTGCCCATCTGACTGTTGTACTTCAGTCCCCAAACTGGAACAAGTATACCAGTCCGGGAGGTCTGAGTCAAGTCAGAAGTCTTTGTGTTTTGGATCAGTGATCCAAAGGTATTGAGGAATGCGTTTAACTAGGGATGATTAGATACCGGTGCCGATACTTTGCATTCTCACAAACTACCAGGGTTGCAGCTGTGACAGGGCCCCGGGGCTCCACCATTGTCCTGAAATCATTAGTCTGTATTGTTTTAGAAAAACTGTCACATGACAATAAACACAAATGCATCAGTACTTGTATCGGTGCTTGTACTGAGAAAATGGTATTGATGCATCCCTAATCTATATAGATGGATCTATCATACTTAAAAACAGGGATGCACAAATCCCAGGAGCTCCATATGCTCCTTTTTTAAAATTGACAGCTGCCTCCAAGTTTTGGGTTTTTCTCTAGCAGGAGCTGGAAAAGTATCAGTACTTGTACCAAGTACGGGGGCTTGGTATCTGAACATCCCTAGTTTCAACCTGACAGCCAAGCAGCTAGCATTTTCTAAAGGACTGGTTTGCAGTGGCAGATTTTTTTCTTTTATGAAAGGTTTCTTGTGATTTCATGTTTCTCCACTTGATAAGGTCCTAGTTTAAAGACCACAATTTAGAGTGTTCCCGTTCTGTTTTATAGCTGTGGTCCACTTTTCATGAGAAGTCGATGGTGAAAGGAGCCTGTCAGAAGACCCTTGCTGATTTGAAGCTTGATTACCTGGACTTGTATCTGGTTCACTGGCCAACAGGATTTAAGGTATTTGCTTATTTTTGGAGGTAGATGAACAAATTCATTATAAACGCAGAACTCCAGGCAAATCAAATCTTTACCCCCACACTTCACGGTTTAAGTGCTCATTGTGCCTAGAGAGCTAAAAAACATTCTATAACATGGGAACCATGATCCTGGCGACTTCTACAGCGCTCCCTCCAGCCTGTTTCCTGCTCCGCTCCAGAGATAGTATATCCCTCAGTGTCCTCCCATTCTATACACTGTATAAACCATGATGGCTGAAGGGGATGAACTAAGAGGAAGCCAGGATTGCGGTTTGGGCGAATTTAACTTGTATTGTGTTAGCTCCCTAGACAAAACAAGCTCATAACCCTTGCAGTGCAGGGGAAGCCCCACTACAAGGGTTAAGGTTTGAGTTCTGCTGTAACACTGAGGGGGTTTTTTTGGTTTTTGTATTCGCGTTCTCTCTGAACTGTCATCTGTTATAACCTGGTGGCCTACCGGAAAATGTATTTGTCCTCGCTGAGATTTGTAATTGACGGAATGTACTTTAGAAATGGTCACATGTGGTAAAACATTAGTAAAACAATTCTATGCTCAAGTAGATGTTTTGTATTCTTAAAATTGTTTTCTCTTTTTCATTGGCATCTTGCAGGCTGGAGATGCATTATTTCCCATTGATGACCAGGGCCTGGTGATCCAAAGCGACACAGACTTCTTGGACACTTGGGAGGTAGGTCTCAACAAATTGTACGACTTCTGCTTATGGATGTATATTTTATGGGTTCTGCTGTGAAAGTGATGTCTTATCTGAGAGCTGTTTCAGTGCTCGTCTAAACCTTTCCCCATCTCCCTCTTCAGGCAATGGAAGAGCTATTGGATGCTGGGCTTGTGAAAGCCATCGGAATCTCTAACTTCAACCACGAGCAAATTGAGCGGTTGTTGAACAAGCCAAACTTGAAGCACAAACCAGCGGTCAACCAGGTACTTGCCTATTTCATGTGTTTTACGGACTATTTGAGTTGTTCTGCTGTCCAAAAGCCCAATTCTCCCAGGAAAACAAAACATGGCTAAATATTTTCCTCTTTCTAAAAGTTTGAATGCCATCCTTACCTAACCCAGCAGAAGCTCATCAATTACTGCCATTCCAAAGGCATCGCAGTGACTGCATACAGCCCGTTGGGATCTCCAGACAGACCCTGGTAAGACAGATCTGTGTGATTTTTGGAAGCTGTACTTGGTGTTTTCGCTTTTTATTTTGGAGACTGTAAAGCAGTCTGCTTACTAAAGCAGCACCCTGTTAAATGACCTAAACAGGAGCACAAAGCATCAACTCTTACCATGCTGTGGGGTCTAGTACATCACCGGCCAGTAGGGTACCAGCATCTTCAGTAAATCCCAATTATTCACGATTGTAATGTCATCACGTCACTCTGCAGCACTATTACAAATACAGCTCAGTGCTTGGGGGTGTTATGGTTCTGGGCTCATTAGGTGGCTGTTTGGGGCTGCCATTATTTCCCTTCATTTGTTTTTCCTCTCTCCTTTCTTTTACTTAAGTGTGTTTGCATAGTTTTTAATCCGCCCTAATTTTTTGCACCTTTGAGACTCGATGCCATAAGCAGCCATCAACACCTTGGCTTTATCTAAGGAATGCTTGTCTCGTTACAGGTGTAATAGTGGTGTATTTTCCTCTAACCAGAAGTTCGTAATAGAGCAGTCAGCAAGTGTAACCCTTAAGGTGCCCATACATTGGCCGAATTTCGGACAGTTGTTAATGTACTGGCTGAAATTTGGCCAGTGTATGGGGCTGCCGGCTCCCTTTCAGCCCACATTTGTCGATCAGCTGATTGAAGGAGCTGGCTGGGAAATCTTCATGTGATCAGAGCTGGCAGCCAGTGAGCTGCTGCAAATTGGAGGAAACAATCCTCCAATGGAGCAAACGATTCATCGATCAACACGCTGTTTGTGTTGATGGAGGAATTGCGTCCAATTTGTTCCGTTCAGCCTGCGGGTTGAACAAAAGAAATTGACAGTTTTATGGCCACCTTTTTATAGTGATTTGATTTATCATATATAGGTCACAGCTCCTCTCCCCCACACAACCGGTCTTCCCCGAAGGTCAGTGTAGTCTTTTCTTAAGGTATTACCCAGGGTCAGGTAGGTGATATCCAGGAAGATGCATTCATGTCACCTTGCATGCTGTACAGTAGTCCCAGCCAATTTTCACGATGAGAGACTGAGGAAATGTTTCCTCCATTTGCAGCAGACTGATTGTATTCTCTGAAGATACCCCCCCCCCCCATCTCACATGACAGGAGCTCAGGGACTTGTTTTTTTGGGGGGGGTTTTTTAGTGGTTGAAGGTAATGTTTTTGTCTTTCACTTATAAGTTTGTGTTTTTTTTGTATATTTGACATGTCAGAGTTGTAGTAATGAAAACATCGTTTGTTTTAAATTTTACCTTCAAAAAGCACAATGGTTTCTATCAAAACTACATTCTGTTTTGTAGGGCCAAGCCAGAGGATCCTTCCCTTTTAGATGACCCAAAAATCAAAGCGATTGCTGCTAAGCATAAAAAGACCTCTGCCCAGGTAAGATCATAAAGGTGTATTATATTAACGAACTAGACAGAGTTCATTGCTCAAACCTTATGCCACAAATATCCCACCATTAACACGCTGATTACCATTTCAGGTTCTGCTCCGCTTCCCTATTCAGAGGAAGTTGGTTGTTATCCCAAAATCTGTAACTCCTCAGCGCATTGTGGAGAACTTCCAGGTATGGAAGGCCAATGTCTGTATTTTTGGGGCTGTAAATTGTTCCATGGTTTTTTTAACTCTCGTATTGTTTCTGTCATCTGCAGGTATTTGACTTTGAACTGTCTGAGGAAGAAATGAAAGAGATATTGAGCTTTGATCGGGACTGGAGGGTCTGTGCATTGTCTACGTAAGTATATGTTTCGCTTTTTTTTGGTAATGGGTTTTTGCTTGGCAAAATGATCTTATTGTGGTCATTGAAAATAGATTGGAATTCTTGAAACATATGGTTGGTTATCACATGTCTACCAATATCTGAGAAGAGTTTCCACCCTTGACATTTATGAAGACTTTTCCCGAACCCCCTGAGATGTTCAGGCAGGAGCTGGTAAAGGGATGCAGATCTGTGTTTCAGAAAAAATACTTGCCCAATGAACACCATTGTGAGCAAAAAATCCACAGCTTAGAAGGTCTTAAAGCAGGGAGTGCCCAGATGACTGGGCTTAATTGGTGAGGTTGTAGTTGGGTCTGGCATACCAATAGAGCATATTGTGGCTTGAGTACTGCAGCTGAAGTTTAATCTAAATAAGGAATTTGCAGGTAGCTTATGTCTGCACCCAGAAACTTAGGCCAGTTGGGTACGTTTATGCAATCTATAAAAAAAAATAGGATTTTTGTACTCGCCGACAATCATTTTCTTGGAATCCATTGAGGAACAGAGGAATTCCTAGGTTGTTGGGTTATACTGTTGCCTACATGAGAAATGGACACAAAAAGTCAGTCTGCACAGGATAACCCCGTCCACAACCATCATACTGCGGTTTTGTAGAAGAGACGTACCAATAATATGGAAGGGGCAGAACCTGAGTCTCCTTAATAGACTTCAAGAAAAGGCTTTTACGGTGAGTACAAAACCTGTTTTCTTTATTGTCCATTGAGGGACACAGGAATTCTCTGACAGGATGTCAGAAAGCAGTCCAATAGAGGGGTGGACAACACAGCAAGAAAGGATAACCTGCCCAAGAAAAGACAAAAAACTGGTGACTGCCTACAGCTGAACGAGCTGCATGAAGGACCTGGAGCTAGCATCAGATGAGGACTGACTAAAAACATAAGATCTGGTAAAACATAATAAAGAAAAATAGGTCAGGTGGTAGCCTTGCAGACTGGGAAAGGATGCATGATGCCGAAATGAGCAAAAAGCACTCGCAGATCTAGTAGAGTGCATCTTTTATACAGGGTGGAACCTGATCTTTAAGATCATAGGTTTGATGATGGTCTTAATAGCCACAGACTTAAATCAGTGTGAATGATTTATTTCAGAGCAGGTATAGAGTACAGATCTAACAACTGATCCACAGAGATCCTAAACTGGACCAGAGAAGTCCAGTGTGTTAGATTTAACAGAGGTTGGGGGAAGAGGATAGTAATGACCCAAGGGTCAGAGGCGGGCCCCAAAAGGAGACAATCAGATGATAAGGAACCATTGACGCAAGAGCCAAAAGGACCAAGTCCTTCAATGCACTCACTCAGGCAGAGTCACCCAATATCTGATCACCAGAGAAGTGAAGGCCAAGCAAACAAGGCATGAGCGGGCCTGTAACGGGGCTCCATCCAAATGACTGACTTGCCCACTAAAGAACGAGTGTCCATAGAGAAAGCAGGTCACCGATCACTTAGTGATGGGGAGAGCACTTAACATCTGTCAGGGCATGCGGAGCTGCAGAGGAACACTTTAACCAGGAGAGACTTGAAATCTAAACTCCCCAAATAATATCTGACAATAGGAGATGACACACAAAAAAAATGTACAGAAGCTTAACAATAACCTTGTTAAGCTTATAGACTCTATGAGCTTTTACCAGGTGGCACTTCGTAGGGTTTGCTATAAGCATGAATGGGAAATGAATTGCCTGTCAAGAGATGGCAGCAACAGTATCGAGCTGCATTACTGTTTACAGTGCCAAAAAACTCCCGGCGGTTTTTGCACATTAGGTGTATTGTATTCGTGACCTAAATCTGTGTTCCTTAATCAAGGAAGGAAAGTGTGTGCACCAGGCACCTAGATAAGTGTCACCAGTACCTGGCAGAATACACGTCCACTTTCCTGAGTTTACCAACCAGCAAAAACTGAGGCAGCAGTATAACCCGACAGTCTCAGAATTCAAAGAATTCCTGTATCCCTCAATGGACAATAAAGAAATGTAGATAGCTGCAGGCTGGACTTCTGCTCTAACTTTTAAAAGGGCATCAGGGTTGCTTTGAGTTCTGCTTCCTCAATACATGTCTGCCCCTCGCCTAGCAGGCAATATATTGAAGAGACCACTATGGCACTTTCCTTCCTGTAATTACAATTGATGATTATAGGATGTCCATGTAAAAACTGAGTTAGCTGAGATAGCACGTGCTATTATTTTTTTAATGGTTTATAATGCACTTGTGACTAGATTCTTCCTGTTTTTCCTGGATTTTGGCTTTCCTATAAACTCAGTCATCTCAATTTCCACCCTTTTTAATAACCCAGCAACAGTAATGGCATAAAAAATTATTTTATATCCTTTTAAGTTATACAACACTGTGACCTAAATGTGGAAAGTTTTTGTTATATAATCTTTTCCATATATTATATAATTGCCTTTTCTCATCCTACAGAGCCAAAAAACACAAGGATTACCCGTTCAGTGTGGAGTATTGAGCAGATGTGTGTCCGGTTAATGCCGTGGCGGTTTCTGCCTTTTGGATGTCTAGCTTTAGATCTGTAGTTCGCATAGTCCAGCAGTAAGGGGTGAAGAAGGGACCGCACCATCCAACAGTCATCCATTTCTCCACAAGTCAAGTGCCTGACTCGGGAATACGATTGCAGCTTGGCAGGCCGCCCTAAAATCGTATTTTTCGTTAGACATCTTGCGGAGGATACAAAAGCCTCCCGTCTGTTTTTAGCCCTCCATTCAGTTTGCATTTAAAGGGTTAACGAAAGCAATCGTATTGAAATCTGAGCAACTTTTTCTGTCATTGTCACACTCCAGTTTACCCGCCTGCGAGGAAAGTACTTGCCAGACACTCCGCTGCCAGATAATGGTTATGTTTGCTTTTCAGAATCCGTACAATAAACCTTTTTGTTCTCAAATTGTTTTTTGCTTTTTCGTCAAATAAAAAAATGCGACATGTATCATTTGTGTCTGCAGCTTCTTGTTTTTGTATCATTGTTTCTGCAGCGTCTTATTGTATTTCTACAGGACTGCCACGATTGGAAGCTTGACGCAAAGGGTTTGACTCCAATAGGTTGGGGAACTGACCAAGCTTGCAACCAGTGAAATCAGGACTTCTGATCTGCATACTTTTTTTTTTTTCCCCCTCCTGGTGGCTGAAAGTATATAGATGCTCTTATAGAGCATCTATAGTATATAGATGGCCTAGAGCATCTATAGTATATAGATGCTCTAGGCCTCAAAATTTGCCCCCTCGCAGTTGGCAAGTGAAAATTGTGTGGGGGCGAGTGGAATGTCATCGAGGGGGTGCGCCGCCGGCAGGACTAGGGATAGGACACTAGCGCCGCTTCTGCAGCGGTGATCACTCGCTTCTGTTCCCTCTTCTCCTCGGCCGCTGTGTAGCTGCAGTGGCCGAAGAGGAGAAGAATTGGTTCAGCTGTCTTCACTTTGGCTCTTTCAGCCACCCACAGCTTCCTCCACCTCAGCTGCTATAGGGGGGAGGAAGACTGCAGATACACTATTGGCCTCGCCACAAAGTTATGCAGCGTGGGACCTCAAAAGAAAGTTGGATCTCTGTACCGGACCACCACCAGGAGAAAGGGCACCTGAATACCATCACCTAAGTGCAATGTAAGTCCCTTTTCTTCCTTATGCCACTGACTTCTGCACTCTGCGTTTACTGACCTCTGTACTGCTGACCTACTGTGCGTTACATTACTGACCTGTGCGCTGTGAGTCCTACTGCTGACTTCTGCATTTACATTAGTGACCTCCTGTACTGTGCGTCACACTTCTGCACTCTGTTATTGATCTCTGTACTCTGCGTCACACAGCTGGCCTCTGTATTCGGCATTACACCACTGATCTCTGTACTCTGCGTCACACTGCTGACCTGGCAGAGTTAAGGCCGGGGTTAGGTGGGGCAACTGGTGGCTAGTAACTTAAGACCTGGCTAGTAGCTCAGGCCTTGACATTTTGAGCCCTGAGCTAGGCAATTAATAATTTTGGGAGATCTAGTACAGGGTCACAAATTAATAACACTAACCTCTCCCCTAGACATATTTGCCCCCTCCCTTTTTTAAATTACTGAAACATTTTGGTTTGATAAACTTTTTTTTGTGACAAAAAAGCAACCTTTTGTTCTACAGGGTTTCTGCTTTTAGAAAATGTAATTCTGGGGGGTTTAGGCAATCTACAGGCCTAAAATGTGCATTTTAATGTGTGCATAAAATGGCTTTGGCAGCAAATGGGTTGAACTGTTTTCTAATGAGTTTGTACAAAGAAAATCTTAGGAAAAGTTTAAATCTCTGGCTTGAATATTATTCTCTGGTACATGAATGAACTGCCATTTTGGGATTTTTCTGTTAGAGTGGCACCATTCCTACAACCAGCATGTCTGTTTTGCTTCTGTCCTAGGTCTTTTTTTCAGCACTTCTGTGATCGAGTAACACATTTTCTTTAGCATTCATTGAGGGACATGGGAAATCAAAGGCTGTTAGGTTATGCTGCCACCTACAGGAGAATTTGGACACTGGTAAAAAAAAGAACAGTGCCAGCCTGGCACCTCAAAGCAATGCCTTTGTTTTAGTGTCCAGGAGAATGGATGTTTTTGCTCTGCTGAGAAGTCTTTGCTATTTACTTCAAAATTCATCCACAAGCTGCTTGTGCTACTCTATAGCCAGCTGTCACGATCAGTGTCTCCTCATCAATAGCTTTGGAGACCTACCTGGATCTTCACTTCACTGGGGCCACAGCACAGCCCCCCCCAGTTGTGTGGTCTCTGGACCCCATAGCTGTAGACTTTTTTTTTTCTTGAGAAGGTCACATGGAGCGACCTCTGAGAGCTACCTTGTTAGGATCTTTTGGGTGCGATTTGAAATCCAAGTTTTACTGTAAGGAGTGAACACTGAGGAGCTGAGTGGGGATGTCATCTGCTGGGTGAAGTGTCACACTATCTGCATAAGGCTGCAACAACTAATCGATAAGGAGAGTCATTGACATTTCTCATTATCAATGAGTAGATTCTGCTTCTTTCCTCCCCGCTGGGAGCCTGTGTTTTATTGCCTTTGTATCCCCTCTGAACCCTATTCAACCCCCTCCTTTCACTTTCAGGTTGTCCTCTGCTAATTGACTGGAGGCAGTGGGTGGGTGCATTAGCCAGCCTGCTATTGTACACGCCCACTGCCTGTTGTCAATTAGCAGAGGACAACCTGAAAGAGAACTTTCTGCCATTTGAACTTCAAAAACCATCCTTAAGGGCCTGTTCACACCATATGCAGTCTGTTTATTTCAACTGCGCAGTTAAAATACATCCCAATGCTTTCCTATGGGCTTTCTTGTGCCTAATTCACACCATTGCAGTCGATTCAACTGCAGTCAGAAAAAGTACTGCTTGTCCTACTTTATCTGCATAAAACGGAACAGGACCCACATTTGTCCTTGGTCATTAAGTTGCGACCCAAATTGCACTGCAATGGAACACACATCAGGGTACCGTGCGTTCTGGTGTGGGCATACAAAGTTATGGGTGGGAGGTGCGTTTTGTGTACCAGTCAAATGAACAGCAACGCAGCACACCTCCCACACCAGAATGCATGGTAGGTGCGGTTGTGTGGTACAGTTTAACGCACTGTACTGGTGTGAACGGGCCCTCAAACACTGACCTATCTACACGACCACAGACACTCACATACACACTCCCAATGTTTTTGAAATTTTTTTTTTTTAGGTCCACCCAGTCTCCCTTCCTTACGAGAAGTGGAGTGGATCCTCAGCCTGGGGTTCAGTGAGGGCTGCTGTGTTGTGACGGAGCTCCATCCATATGTGCATTGCTTGTACAGTGTCTTGCGCGCCCTGCAGAGGTTCCGGAAGCCACACTGATGTCACTCCCGTCCAGGCACCTCCTATGAGACACGTGAGGGAGCTGTAAGCAATGCACTTATGTATGGGTGGAGCTCCCTCGCGGCCATACCCACAGACCATCCCACCTCACTAGGGACTCGGTAGCATATTTTGAATGGCTGCTTGGCATGAGAACTGACAGTGCTGCGCAAGCGGGAAGCAGAGAAGCCTCTTGCCTAGAAAAGTGGAAGGAGTGTGGCGACACACTGAACATGGGGTCGTGACCAGGGCTGGATTTCCCACAAGGCCAGGCCTAGTGGCAGCAGGGGTGTGGCATTCCTTTCTCCCGATGCCCAGGACATGCTGGGCGGGTAGTTTTCTACGTTTAGCCCTGCGTTGGGCAAGCAGGACTAAATGTACAGTGGGGAAGCCGCTGCTCGTTTTATACATGTGATCTAGGCAATGTCACTGAGACTGAGACTTGTATGCAGCCTGCAGGTCTGCCATTCTCCATGGGGGGAGGTTTGGCGGGTAGTGGGGAGCATTGAGGGCCTGACCTTGGGGCAGTAGAGAGTAAAGCCTGCCCTGGTCGTGACCCACCAGTTGAGAACCAAGGCCTTAGACCAATCAGATATTTCACTCCATTCTTACCCATAAGGTGGTGTTTCTTGTAGCTATCACTCCCGCAAGGCGAGTGTCTGTGCTGGGAGCCTTATCCTGTAAATAAACCTTTCAGGCCTTGCACAAGAACAAGGTGGCACTGAAGCCTAGAACTTCCTTCCTTAGTTAGTTTTGGACTTTCACATCAACCAGGACCTCGTTCTATCATTCTTCTGTTCCATTCAGCGCAAGGAATGTTCTCTGGATGTAGCTCTGTGAGCGTCTCTCCTTCTAAAAAAAAACATTATTGTGGATAGTGCCTTGTACAGGTTAATCGGCTTCTTGTTGCATCATTTCTCGGCGGCTGAGAGAGAACATTGTCTAAGCTTATGGTCCTAAGAAGCAGGTTCGCCCTTTTCCTAGCAGGGAACATTTTATTACATCTGTGAGTGCTCTGTGGCCTCTTCGGCATTGGACTATAGTTGCCCACATTTGCAAGGCTGCCTGGTCATCTGTTCACAGGCCCTCCAAGTTCTACCAAGTGGTATTAAGATCTCACTGAATGTCAGCTTCTCACTGCCAAATACTTTTCTTGTAGTCCATTGAGGGACACGGGTCCACCCCACTGTTTATGATCATGCTTTTAGTACCGTAGGAGGAGGATAACAATAGGGGGATTGTTATCCTCCTATGTGATGGCAATAACTAAGTAAAACAAAACAAAAAGTCAGTCACTCCCACACACAACAAAAAAAAAAAAATGTACAAGTCCTCCACTCCCACATATAAACGTAAATACCCGTCGGGTGTGCCAACGCGCGAAAACAATTGCGCTGCACGTTACATATAACCGCGAACGTCGGACAGAGCAATAATTCTCGGGCCATTAATGACTGATAACACTAAACCGATGAGCGGTAAAAGCTTTTAAATTGTCACCTATGGCCAATTTTGGGTATTGTAGTTTTCCGCATCCCCATCCCCCCCCGCTCGTGCCCGCCACTAGGCGGCGCGCACGAACGGGACATCGGCTTTCAATGTAAACAGCCAGCGATGAAGAGATGCCCGATCGCTTGTAATTGTGCGCCCCCTCCGCCGCAGCCGGCGATCCCGAGCTCCGCTGTGCCCGGGACCAGCACAGCAGCTCTGCGGCCGAAGATCAGTACACAAGCTCCGTTTGATCTCCTCTCCTCTTTTCTGAATGCAGGCAGTGATATGTATTACATCACTGCCTGCATTCAGTGTCACTCTACGGTACAGAAACCGGAGAGAAGCTGGTGAAGCAGGTCTCTGCTTCATCAGCTTCTTTGGGGGTCCCTAGGAGACATTAGGGGTCTTAAAGACCCCTGATGTCTCCATAAAAAGGAGGACCTGTCTGTGCAAATTGGCTATCACATAGGAAGCTTGTTTGCTCCCTATGTGATAGTTAAGTGAAAAAAAAAAAAAAAAAAAGTTTACAAAAAATTAAAGGTACAAAAAACAATTACAAAATTAAGTCACATATCAAAGCAATAAAAAAAAAGTCCCCCGCCAGCACATGCACACGCAAACATGCGTCAAGTCCGCCTACGTGTGAAAACGACGATTACATCCATTGCGCCGCACATGTTACATATCGCCGCGAACGTTGCAGTGAGAGCAATAATTTTAGGGCCATTAATCACTGATAACACTAAACTGATGAGCTGTAAAAGCTTTTAAAGCGTTGCCTATGGTCAATTTTGGGTATGGTAGTTTTTTGCGATTTAGCGGGTGCGCACGATTTTAAAGCTTGACATGTTTGGTGTCTATTTACCCGACATGACCCCGTCTTTTATATTTTACCAAAAAATTGGGTAATAATAAATGTTTTATAACATAATGTAGGGAGAACAGGTTTTTTTTCCCCAAAATTTTCGGTACTTTTGTCATTATATAGTTTAAAAAAAAACCCGTAGTGATGATTAAATACCACGAAAAGAAATTTCTATCTGTCCCCAAAAAATGGTATAAAATTCATTTCAGTATAGCGTTGCATGACGGAATAAATGTCAGTCAAAGTACCGCAGCGCTGAATACTGAAAAATAGCCTGACCAGGAAGGCGGTATAAACACCCCGGTCAGCAAGTGGTTAATATAGTTTTAAAAAAAAACAAATAAAACCCCCAGTGGTGATAGGTTGAACTCCATGGACATGTGTCTTTTTCTCAACCCTTATGATTAAATACCACCAAAAGAAAGCTTTATGTGTCCCCCCCAAAATGGTATAAAATTCATGTCAGTACAGCGTTGCATGACGGAATAAATGTCAAAGTACTGCAGCGCTGAGTACTGAAAAATGGCCTGGACAGGAAGGGGGTTTAACGCCACGGTCAGCAAGTGGTTAAGTCACAGGGTCCTCTAAGCAGCACATTTAAAACACAATGGGGGAATTTATCAAACTGGAGCAGACAAAATCTGGAGCAGCTGTGCATGGCAACCAATCAGCTTCTTCCCTTCATTTTGTTCAGTTAAGATTTGAAAATGAAAGAAAGAAGCTGATTGGTTGCCACGGGCAACTGCTCCAGTCTGGATAAATTCCCTTCATTGAGCTTTCCTATATGGTAAAGACAACAAATTTAGTTTTTTCCCCATTGGTAGTGTTGGTAAAATATTTACAGAGAAAATCAGAACTTTCACATTTCCTTTTATTTATATATGGATACTTCATTATGTACACAAATTAACATGTAAGCCCCTTCTATACATCCTGGAGGCAGCATTTAAAAAAAAAAAAAATGTTTTTCTTCCAACCGAGAACTCAGTCTGACAAGATGGGCGCGTGCAATAAATAAAATAAATAGCGTCCACACCACTCATGTCACGTATGAGATAGATTCCCATCGGTATTAAATACATTGCAGTCTGAGCTTAGTAAATCCTCTTCCTCAGAGTCCTCGTCTTCCTCGTCCGCATCGGTGAGCAGTGCTGTAGTTGGGCCCTTGCAGATCTTGAGGTGTCGTGTCAAGTGATATTTGGTCAGGAAGGCCTTGGAACATTTCTCGCATACGTAGTCCCTTTTCCCTTCATGGGAATTCAGGTGTTTTTTCAGGTGGTTGGTCCTGCTGAAGTGCTTGTCACATTTTGGGCACTTTATCTGCCGTTCCCTGGTGGAAGTAGGAGAGAAAATATGAAATCTAGCAAATTATGACTAAAACAATAGAAGCTACTCAATCATCATTAGTGCAGTGTATAAAAATCAGTGGATCCAATGTCAGCCTGAGAAGACAGCTCGACACGGCAAAGAACGCAAAAAAAAAAAAAAGGTTGAGATAGATATATATATATATATATACACACACACATCAAAGATACATACATATATATACACACACACACATCAAAGATACATACATGCAGTATATACAAATAGATTTGTCCACTGCTGGGCACAGATGTCTCACATTCAGATTAAAAAGGGAACTATGGGGTGAGTGTTTTTCCCCATAGCTTTCTTAAGGGTCACAGGGTGACATATACTAGCGTGCTCCCGTGACCTAAAGCTCAGTATATCGCGAGCTACAGCTTGCGGTATACTGTGACCGCCGCAGCCGGGACGGATCCCAACATTACTGTCGAAATCCACCCAACTGTGTGAGTGACAGCTGGCTCTGACTATCTACAGGCAGAGCCAGCTGTACCCGCCCCCCTCTCCCGTCCGTTCCTCCAAACAGCACTGGGGGATTGGAGCGGGGAATCCCTGCAGGGAGTCGTGACTGAGAGTCCCGGCTCCTTGCAGGGAGATGATCGAGAAGTGAGCGACGGTATGAGTTCGCTCACTTCCCCAAATCTATTGAGCCGACGTGTGACAGTTTCATTGTCACACATCGGCTCGAACTATGAGGTTGAGTTATTTTCACTCTCCTCATAGTTCTCCTTTAATACAAAAAAAAAAACTGTAGGCAAGCCCAGGAGAAGCTGTCCAACTACCTAGTCTTGGACACTGCTCAGACCAGGGTCTGTCTACCACAGGAAAAACTTTGAGCTAGCCACTCTAGCACTTGTCTGACTGATTTGATGCAGTCATGTTTACCTCTTCTTCGTGGTTATTGAAGCCCAGGTCTATCATTGGACATATTTCACTTGGTATGCGTCTCAGGGCATCTTAGCAGTTTCTCCATGGGACAATTCCTCTACATCCTGGAAGCTGGGTCTGGATCAGCATTTGGCTTTCAGCACTATTAAAGGACAGGTTTCTGCCCTTTCTACCGTTGGCCTCTCACTCCTTTATTAAGACCTGTTTACATGGTGTTTCCCCACATAGCTCCCCCTGTTCTTTCCCGTGACTCCATTGGATGTGAATGTGATTCTCTGTGTGCTCCAAGAACTACCGTCTGAACCCATTCGAGAAACTCCTCTCTTTACACTCACAAATTGATATATTACTTGTTACCATCCATCTGTGAGGCAAGTGTCTCAACTGGCGGCCTTATGCTGTAGGGAACTTTTTTTGGTTTCCCATAGGGACAAAGTACTGTTTGTAACTGTAATGAGGTTTGCGCATATCAGTATTATCTGTGAAATTCTCTCTTCCCTCATCTTGAAAAAATGCAGCCATCAATTCAGTTCAATTGACCTCAGGCTGCCCTAATTTTGCCAGGCATCCTTAAATTCCACCAATGGATATCTGTTAATCTGGGCCTGTGATCTTTATAGTCCTTAGTGAAGCACTAAAAACTGTTGATCTAGAGATTTACCTAAGCCTGGGGTGGATTAGCCTTTTTGCATTAGCATGATCTTCTACGATAGGTGTCGTAAATCGCTAATACCATGGTAATTGTCTAGCACAGCTTAGCTAATTCTCTACAGATCACCTGGTGGATAAAAAAGGAATGTGTGGTATCCCAGTGTGTCAAACAGAGTAACATTAACCCAATTTTCATAACTCTGAATAGGAGAATGATATTGTAACATTAATCGCATAAATAGCTGCTTCTCGTCATATCAATCATGGGTGGGTTACATCGGTCAGAGGCCTGACAAGCCACATTAACCCTCCTGGGCCAGCCATACTTCAGATAAAAGTCAAATTTGGATTCAATGTAAAGCTATTTTCATGACACTCAATCATTTAGGGGTTATCAGACAATAATAGGCAAGTATATTAAAACTATAATCTTAGTTATGAAAATTGACAGTTTGGGAGGAGCAGAGAAGGGCATCATAAAGGCTTAGCCCTTCTGCTCACCATCCCCAGCCCTGCTGTATGGGCAGTCGAGGAGGCTCTTGGTTTAACATCAAGAAGGGGCCTTAGCAACATCAAAGCTGTGTAACATCCAAGAAGAGTTCCCCTTCGTCAAGAAAGAATCTTTGCAAGCCATACTTGGAGAAAGAGCCATTCGGATCCATCTTCTGTTTATTCAACTGGACTCTGTCAGAACCTATAAACCCAGGACTGTTAAGTATTCTCTTTTTATTCCCTTTTATTTTACGGTTATCTCTGTCTCTCTTGGTTAACATCTAATTCTGTATATTTCTTTCCTGCACCGCTTCTTTTATTAAAGGATGATCTTAAAAATCTCTATGCTCTAAACAAGAACTTCAAGTATCCTTGCCTCTGTGAAGAGCACTACTGTATAGTGAATCCTATCACATTCCTGTCTGAGAGGACAGCGGTATCATAGGCTTTGCCTTAGTTTTTGGAATTGAAACAGGATTTGCTGTGAAAGGTTTGTGTTTCCATTAAAACATGTGGTGGCAGCTACTATTTTGTGTGTAAAGGGCAAACTACAAAGTTAACCAACCCTAGTGATGATTGCTCTGCCTGCTGGCCTGAGATTGTGGTCTAATGGGAAATCTCGGTGCAGGGTGAGTCTGGGAGCCATATCCTTGTCCGGAGCTGCATATAGTCATGTGTTATTGACATACACTGGGTTTGGACTGAGCCCCTCCATCAACGTGTTAATGCCCAGGACTTCCTTCTCGCCCAAGATAGTTTCTGCTCTTCACCTCAACCATGACCTTGTTCTTCCTCTATCCAGCTCCAGTTCACCAAGAAGAAATGTCTTTTCATTATGTGGAGCTGGTCTGTGGGAGTATCTCTCCACCACTGCTTCTTTCTGAAAGACGAATTCCATTTTTGTCATATCAGATGGCCCCTTATAAAGGACACAAGCTTCTTGTTCCACCATCTCTAGATGGCTTGGATAAGCCACCATACAAGCTTATGGTCCTGAAGATCAGGTTCCCCCCTTTCAAAGGGACACTCTACTGCATTCATAAGATGTTGACTGTGCACCCACTCACAGGCAGTCCGACGTCATGAGAAACACCTCCTCGGGTGCTTGATAGCAGCAACCATATATATATCTCCGCAAGGTCGTTTTAAAAAAAAAAAACTTTATTTAAAATTTCACAATGTCACAGCTACACTGCTTCACTATATGTAAATTTTAAATAAAGTTTGTTTAAAAAAAAACAACCAAACACTACCTTACGGAGATAACTGGTGTTGCTGTCAATCACCTGAGGAGGTGTTTCCTATGACATTGAGCTGCCTGTGCGTGTGTGCACAGGCAGAGTCTTACACAAGCTTGTAGTCCCAAGCACTGGAGCGCACACTAGAGGGTGGCTCCATAGGACGCAGTAAGAGAAATGGAGGCACCCTCAGAACGGAAATCATCTGCAGCGCTGGGGGAAAAAAATAAATAAAAGGAAGACGATCTGCACACCAAACAAAGCATCTCATGCAGTAAGATTTATCTAATTACATTCATGTTTAAAAAAAAAAAAAATCTGTGAAACTCTAATATCACTTTAACCCCTTCATGACTGAGCTAGTTTTCAGTTTCTGTTCATAAATGACTGACACACTTTTTACAGTTTTGCTGTGTGGTTCTTCCACAGCAGTAATATACTTTCTTACTAAATGTACCCACACATCTTATATATAGTTTTTTAGAGGACAGGTAGGGCTATATAATTATATCACATATGTGTACCTAACCCCTTACTTAGTTTGAATAAAAAAAAAAAAAAGAAGAAGAAGAAATTCGGGCTCTCAAGCTGTCAAAACAAATAGCAGAGAGGTGAGTCACTGCTACCTCTCTGCTATTTTCAGCTGTCAGATACGGGATCGCAAATTGCGGTCCTGTATTTGCATGTAACGGCTTCATTCTTTCATTAATGAAAGAAGCTTTTACAAAAAGCTTAATTATGTCATTAATCAATGCCTCAATAGTGAGGCATTCATTAATGTCTGGTAACTGCGGAGAATCAGCTGTTACCAGCATTACAAAGCCTTATATAACTCGTCACGTACAGTGTATGTGGCCAGTCATATAGGCACAAAGTGCCGGGACGTACACTGTACGTCTCCCGTCACGGAGGGGTTAAAGTGACATTAAAGTCAAAAACTTTTTTCCCTCCCCCCAATGTTAAAACACTTACCTTAAATGATGTTTCTTAATCCGATCTTCTTTCCTGTCCTTTTCAGCCTTCTCTCCAGCGCTGCTGCGGGTCTCTGATCCAGTGCTGACTCCTCTGTCCTTGCTGGCACTTCCTGTCCCACGGTGTCTGCATGCGGGTGCGCGCGTCCATATATTTACCTTGCGTCTCTCCTTGTCTCCCGGCCGAAAAGCCAAACTGCGCATGCACCCGCCCAAGATGCTTTGTGGCCGCCCGAGCAGTTTCGGATTTTCGGACGGGAGCGCGCGGGGGGAAGACAGGGGGAAGTTTAAACCGCTTTTAACAAAACAAAACACTTTTTGCATATATCTACAGCTTGCTAGCAGTAGATATATGAAAAAAAACGTAAAACTGGCGAGTTGGAGGTGTTAAGTCTTTAGAGTGGTAGGCTTTGAATTTTTCTGTATGCCTAACGTCTATTTCTCCTAGAGGCAGCAGCATAACCCTATGCCTCAGAATTCTTCAGAGCTGTGTCCCTCAATGGACAAATACATTGGATGAAATCAGCCTTTAAGTTGTCCTGACCATTACAACATGCTTCTCAATATGATGATATTCAAGCAGAAGAGTCATGGTACTACTCACCGGGTATGAGTGAGCATGTGCTGTTTAAGGTCCTGCCTCCTCATAAACATCTTGTCACAGAAATCACACTTCAGGTTCTTCTCGCCCGTGTGGGTCACCATGTGTGAGGCCAAGTGAGCTTTCTGTGTAAATGATTTGTCACAAAGGCCGCAGCGATGATTCTTCTGCCCTGTGGGAAGAGCCGGGTAACCAGCATTAAAACAGGTCCAATAGTTCTGCTATGGAAAATGTGTTCCAAGCTGGAAAGAAAAAAAAAAAAAAGGCGACATTTAAAACTGAAAGGAACCCTGACCTGTACTGATGCAGGCTGCCAATCCCCACCTCCCTTCCAACAATGCTAGCTGCCTGGCTGTCACCCTGAATCAATAGCATCAGTACTACTCTAAAGCACTGTCCCAGAAGAAGTATGCAGACTAGGAGCATTAATTAACTAGTTTACCAATCACAGGATTTGTAGTCCCAGTGGTTTATATCTTTTTAAAGTGAATGTAAAGCCAAAACATTTTTTTTCAGTTCTAGGTAGAGTAGGGAAGGCCTTTTATTTTTTGCCATCTGTGTTCCATTGGAGAAATGTCCTTTCACTTTCTGTCCTGGAGACACAAGGTGACCTTCCTCAATGGAAGATTTCCTCTCATTTCCCGATCTGGTGACAATTGTAAATTATGGATTTCCCATCTTTCTGTTCCTGCGATAATGGTCACCGGGACAAAGAGGGTGAATCATCAGTGGGGGCACATAGAAAAATAAAAACCTGACCAAGGTTCTATCACTTCTCCATTGTATCCAAAACCAACAATAATAATAGGATTTTTGTACCATCAAATCCTCTTCTTCAAGTCCTTTGAGGGACACAGGAATTCAGAAAGTCTGGTTATACTACCACCTTCAGGAGGTTGGGACACTGGCAACCAGAAAAGAGGGGTAGGACCTGTGTCCCTCAGTGGACTTGAAAACGATTTTATGATACAAAGTACAAAAATATTATATTCAATAAATTTTTAAGACATCCAAAAGCAGTTCAACTGTCAGCAACACAGGACAAGCAGAAAGACCAAGGCCCAAATCTGAGCCAGATGAGGTGAAACAGAGGCTCAACCTAATGCTCAAGACCAGGACAGAGGTAATCACCACCAAGGGAAATGACTAACCGAAGCTACACTGAGCTCATTTGAGCAAGGCTGTGAACAAACAAAAAAAAAAAACATAGCATGGAACATAATTAGCCGATACGGAAAGCTAGAACAACGTGATATGGTCAACAAAAAAGAACAATGGGACAATTCTCAGGAAAAAACAGGTGTCCAGGGGGAACACTGGACAACAACAGGTCCACAGAAGACGACCAGCCAGTCCTGGTCTACAAGAGAGGCTAAAGCCTTGCGCCTTCAAACTATTAGGATTCTGGGAAGGAAGGTTTCAGGATAAGAATGAGGTTGCCTGGCCAAACAGTCAATCTCGTAAGTGCGAAACCTCACAATGTGTTCCTTAACCCCTTTGTGACGGGAGACATACACTGTGCGTCCTGTCACAAAGTGCCTATGTGACTGGCCATGTACACTGTAGGTGACAAGTTATTTAAGGCTCTGTAATGCCGGTAACCGCTGATTCTCAGCTGTTACCAGTCATTAATGAATGCCTCAGTATTGAGGCATTCATTAATGAAATAGTTAAGCTTTTGTAAAAGCTTCTTTCATTAATGAAAGAATGAAGCCGTTACATGCAAATACAGAAGCGCTAAATAGCAATCCTCTATTTGACAGCTAAAAATAGCAGAGAGGTAGCAGAGTGACTTACCTTCCTGCTATTTGTTTTGACAGCCCCATGTTTATGATACATTTCAGGCAAAGAGATACAATGTATCTATGTGCCTGAAATGTATCACTTCTGATCGTCTGGGCACGATCAGAATCCTTTAGGCCCCATTCACACTAAGCGACACTCACCTCGAGCGGATTTCCGCGCAATGGTTTGGGCGACGATCATGCGACCTTCACCGTCATGCTGCATTTAAAAAAAAAAAAAGGAAATTCGTGGGAAAAAGGGTCCTGCAGGCACGACTTGTGACCGCGACATGGAGCTGTACATTAAGACAGCTCCATTGAAAACCAGCAACTTCTCGCGATATCGCGCGGTAAACATGCGCAATATCGCGGCGGAAATCGAGGGATTTTCCACTCAGTGTGAATGGGGCCTTAGTCAGATCTGATTCTGACATGCTGTCAGGATCAGTCTCTAAGGTTATTATTAGTTGTTTGGAGCAGCCTATAAAAAATTTCTAAAAAATAATAATAATAATCAAAACTTGTGAATAAAGTGTTTTCTTCTAGTTTGTTTCCATTTCTTTTTATATTTTATTCAAAGTGAGGAGTTAGGGCTATATAATTATATCAAACATGTGTACCTATCTGTCCTCTAAAAAACAATATATAATATGTGCGGGTACATTTAGTAAGAAAGTATATTACTGCTGTGGAAGAATAACACAGAAAAAAAATTTCAAAAGTGTGTCAGTCATTTATGAACAGAAACTGAAAACTAGCTCAGTCATGAAGGGGTTAAGAGAGCCATAATACCCCTTAGACTAGTAGCAAACCCAAAAAGGTACCAACTAGAAGGTCAAAATGACATAATAAGGGAGGTAGGGTGCCCAAGAGGTACCCGTACAAGGGTAGGCAGAGATGATACACCACAATCCCAGACTGGTGCATGCAAACACCAAAAGAGAAGAGATAAGCAGGACCCATCCACTAAAACACTGAGAGGCATCTCTGGGGGCCAGACAAAGGAACTCTGCAGAATCTGCCTAACCTAGAATACAGAACATGGTTCTAAGGCCTCATTCACACTGGCTGTCCTACAATTAGAGTTCTAAACGCAGGACGCGTTATCTGGGAACTATAAACAACTTTTATGCTTCCCAGGTGACTTTTTCCTGCATTGAGATGTTCCTGCGTAAAGCCGCATTTAGAGGTTATAAGCAGATCGTGGACACACAGAATTCTATTTTCTCTAAACGCAGCCAAACTGAATGCAAGTAAGTACAAAGTCTCAATGGTATCACTGCAAATGAATTATATGCTATAAACGTGTTCCAAACACATATAAATGCAGGTTTGACAATGCCAGTGTGAATGAGGCCTAACCAGTCATCTGACCTGTCCCAGGCCGGTGAAGCATCCAGAGCCGTGGAGCAAGTGGCAGAAACCTTAGCCAAACAGCTAAGAACATTTAACTGAATATGGACAGAAGCAGTTAAGGGAACTGGAGACATTTCCACAATAGGTTACAAATCAGCCACGTTCAGGGGACCCAACCACTGTGATCAGGTTCCATGAAAGCCTCCAGCCACATACTCCATCCCTAACTGGCAGAACCTGGAATGGCATCCCAGTGTGCGCTGTTAATTTACAATCCAGGGGAACATGTGATCCTTCAACGATGCGGTCTTCCTGCCATGCAGGAGATAAGATATGTGAACCCCACTGGCCGAAAGAGAGAAGGAATGTGTTGATGAGAGCAGAACTCTCACAGTTGTCCAGCGAAGGGAGCAGGTCACTCATTCTGTCACAAGGAGAACTCTCAACCTCAAAAGGTGGTCATGGGTATAAAAAATGAAAAAAAGGCCTCAGTCATGAAGGGGTTAAGGCTGCAACCAACTAATCGATAATAATTGATGAGAATATTTGTCAACTATTCTCATCGATTAGTTGGTTGGATCCCCTAGCTCTCTCCTCCATGCTGGGACAAGGGCACAGCAAGCAGTGGGTGGCTGCAATAGCCAGCCTGCTATTGCAGTTTGAAATGGTCAATAGCTGGCTGGGTATTGCACCAGCCCACTACCTGCCGTATTTACATTTAGCTGCCGTCTGTGCAATCTCGCCACTGGCAGCTGTCATTCCCTGGCTGAAGATATTCAAGTGCCATGTGCTTACAATACAATTATTAAAAAAAAAAAAAAATTATAATAAGGTGGGGAAAAAAAGAACTAATTTTTGGCTTCGGCCTGACAAATTCTGCTGTGGGAGGTGCGTTGCAGTGCCATTCATTTCAATAGCACCCCAAAAGCGCCTCCACCCACAGTGTGATCCCCAGCCCTGGTATTCCAGTGCAGTGTGATTGCAATAAATTGTGCATGCAGTCTTATTCTGAAGCAAATTTATGTTTGTAACATTGCATTTGTGTATTTTATTTTAAATTATGGATGGGATTTAATTTAAATTTTTTTTATCCAATTAATTGAAAAATAAATCGGCCAACTAATCAATTCTGAAAATAATCATTAGTTGCAGCGCTGATGGTCTTACAACACCTAAGTGAGGTCCAATGTAGTGCAGTTCAAAGAACCACCTTGTAGCAGGATCCCTCAAAGAAACAGGGACCAACTGTTCTGAGGAACTAGACCTAAGCCCCAGGGGTGGGGACACCCCTGACAGCTAAGGAAGAGTCCACTGACTCATGGGGTGTAGACTTCTTTAGTGAGATTTTGAGCTGAACAGCCTTGCACGTTGGTGGTCAATAGTTTCCAACACTAGAAACCTGTGAGTGCCCTTTTGATCGAAGCTTGCAGATGTTAGGCCCCTCAGAAGAGTTCTAAGTGCAAGGCTCCAAAAAGCTGACCCTCTTTAACCTCCCTGGCGGTATGATTGAGCATGCCCAAAGCGGTACATTGTTTTTCAAGGAAATTTGTTGTTTTATATTGTAGGCTGTTTAACCACCTCCCAACCAGCCATTGTAGTTTAACAGCCACTCAGGGGTGCTGTTTTTCAAAGCAGACACTTAAAGTAACACTAAATTCAGGAGCAAGCTTGGAGTGGTGGCTACTTTACAACACACAGACAACAGGCTTTACATGTGTGTGAAAACCTAAATAGGAGTATAAAGCTTCCCCTGTTAGCTCAAAGGGACAGCACAATATTTATATACTATACATCCCCATCACTTTTTCTCAATCATATATGGTGCCAGCATACTGTATAACTGACAATTCACTGAGCTGCAGCACACTTTTTTCCTGACCATAATAATAAAAAAAAAAAAAAAGAAAAAAAAAAAAAAAAAAAAAAAAAAAAAAGAAGGACAAAATCACTAAATATTCCCTTTGTAGAGCTCGAAGTAGGGCATGGTACATACTGCCCATCAGCTCCCTGCTCTTGGAGGATAACACTCAATGGAAATGCCTTTTGTACAAATGTCAACTCTTACTTAGTGATTAGGATTAGCATCTTGCACACAGAGTTAAATAAATATTACCAAGCAGATTTTGGACTGCCCTCCCAGAACACAGGAAGTGCAGTGGCTGAGACCTACCTGTGTGTATGCGTAGATGAGTACGCAGGTTGCTCGGGTCACTGAAGGCTTTGCTGCAGAACTCACATTTGTGGGGTTTCATGCCCATATGCCCCATGTAGTGCACATTGAGCTTAGAGGATGAGGAGAAGGAGCGGGGGCACACTGAGCACTTCCACTTGCGTTCTTTGCTGGGGCTCAAGCCCTGGCTGGTGTCCTCGCTGCTCAGGGTCTCGCTGGGGAGGTGGCTGTTCACATGACTGTTCAGGTGAGCCTTGAATTCTGCGTAGGACATGCACTCCTTCCCACAATGACACAGCAGCACCTCCGGTTGCTCAGGCAAACCTGACAAAAGCAGTCATAAACCATTATAAAAACTGTAAGCTTTAAAGAGCAACACCACCTGAAACATTATGATGATGAACCAAAGAGTCTTACTCTACCCAAATACTATACATTTTCCATACCCATCTGCTGAGCGTAGTCCCGGCTGTAATAGAAGAGCAGTTCCTCCTGGCCTGGAATATCCTGGGAGGTACAGAAATAGATCTTCCCATTGTGAGGGTACGCCACAAGATTCTGCTCCTCTGGGTTCCTGATAGAAGCAAACAGAACGTGACATCACGGTTTCTGTAAAAACATTCCATCCTTCTCAGCAGATGTTCCCGTATCCCTCCATACCTCGCCTTCCGGACAAACATCATCCAGTTACATTCATTCTCATCTGTCGTTATGATGCAGAATTCCATCACATTGTTGTTGTACATCTGAGGACAGAGAGTATTTTAGGAGCTCCAAGAAACAATTCAGTTGAAAAAAATAACTTAAAAGCCAAACTCCAGCCAAAATATTTTATTTATTGCTTTCAGGGTAGATCAGGTGGTGTCCCTATTACTGTGATTTCCCCTCACTTCCTATCGGGACAGGAAGTGATATGACATTTCTGCAGTGGTGAGTTAGGTGAAGTTTTCTCTATTTACTTCAAGCAGGTGTATAATATAATATAATATAATATATATCTCTCACATACACAGCCGGCCCCTTTAAGCAGTTATACCAGCAGCAGCTGTGCTCTTGGTACCTTTGTAAACAGCCAGCGAAAGCTGTTCAGATACAAGCAACCCAGTGACTACACAGCTACTTAATCTTTTGTACTGAGCGGTGAAGTGTGCCCCCTCCCCCCCCCCGCTACAGGCTCCCCTGGGCTGCCCGGTCCCCTGGG